CCCCCCCCCCCCCCCCCCCCCCCGTGACCACAGAGTCCTCCACAGTGGCCCTCTGCAGAGAAGGGTTCGTGGAGAGGTTAAAAGCCGATCTCCTCCTCTCCCTTGCTGTGCTGAGCCTATTTTTATTCAGCAACATGAAAGTGAAAGCACACATGTTTGTGATGCATTTAGAATCTGTCTGGATTACTGTTTGCTGCGTTGGTAGATGATGCTCCTGCTGGGTGGTGTATCAATGTCATTTACATATTCTGTCATCATATTTTCTGGGTTTAAACAATACCATAAAGATGTTTGACTAGGGTTGTCACGAGAACCAATATTTACTCTTTATGCTATAATACTGTTGTATTTTTAACATTTACTGACTTGCTGGTTTGTCTTCTTGTGATAATTGTACTGTTTGGTTAGATAAGTGTTGTCCTTGACTTGTAGGTACCCCATCCGGAGCGCTAGCTTCCTACTCTAGTGGAGGAGGCTACTCATCTTCTCTCTCCCTCTCTCAGGGTGGAGGTACTGATCTTTTCTCTATTTTTGAACTTAATTCTGTTTGTCCATCACTCTGTCTGCTGTCCTCTCTCTTGTCCTGTCATGGTTGTCTGAATGTGCTCGGGCTGGAATGTGTGTTTTATCTCAATGGCTTCAGGTTGGTTGATGTTCGAGCTCAATAAGGCAAACACCATGCTCAAACTACTTGTGGCTGAATAATGCCTTCTACATTACAATCAGTGTAGATCAAGTTCATTACGGTAGTAGCTTTTGTAGCGATGTGTATTTTAATCAATATGGTGTTTTCATTTAGATTTCTGTGCATGCGTTTTAGTGTCGTAGCACTCTGGGGTAGTTGTTAGACAGCCGTTTGCATTCTATTTCTATTGACCTAAATCTACTGTAGAAGGGAGTAATCATGTGCGTTTGTCTTTTTAGTGTTAAATGTGTGAGTGTACTTCTCTGCTGCTGTATTACATGTGACATGACTCTGACCTGTTCATGGTCTCTTCTTCTCTAACAGGAGCCATCAGTCCTCTGAGCGCTGCAGCAGCAGCAGCAGCAGCCGCCGGCCGCGTCGCTCTGTCTGGGTCCGGAGTGTCAGGAGTCCTGCTGGCATCCAACCTGAATGAAGAGGTACACTAGCCATACGCATAGCTGTGAATGAGTACGCGTCTCTGCTCTGAGTCACTCATTGTCTTTACTATTTAACAGACGCCATTGGATGATATTCTGGAGTTGATAGTAGTGTGTATTCCTGTGTGTTGGTTGTTTGTGTGCTAAGCTTCACAGCATGATTTATCTTCCACCTAGATATGGGAAATGGACTTTCTCGTCCTCAGCACCACATGTCAACATTTACCCAGACGCGCACACATTCATACATTAATGGCAAGTCTGCCTCACAAGGTGCCTTCTGCTCGTTAGGTTCTAATCTAAATGCTCATGCACACTCGCACCGATGGTACAGCCTTCAGAAGCTTTGGCTTTTCAGTATCGACGTACAGACTGGAGACCAGCGCCACTCTTTGAGCCACATATAGTCTGTTTTGTAATTATGATAGATTCATAATGGGCCATAAACTGAGTATAATACATAGTCTTAAACCATAAGGGTGCATGGCACATGTGCATTTAATGCGCGTCCAACTCCACTTTTGCTAGTTAAATGGCACGTAATCTGGGCGCAATGTTAGGTGCAATGGGCAAATGGGTTGTCTCTTAATTATTCATAGGTGTGTTTTGGGCGTAGCATGAACTAAAGCAATCAGAGTGTCATCTCCCATTCCTGTGAAAAGCCAGGTGCACTTGCATGGCGTATTCAGCAAATTGGAAAAGCGAGCGTTTTTTTCTGCAAAGGGACCAGATCTGCTCATGATCAAAGTGGAAGCTCCCAAGCTGACCATCTACCCTGGTCGATCCTCTGTCCCGTTCTCTAGATAGATTTTTGTTCTTCATGGACTGTCACAGAGGCTAACTACATTACGTCTTTATATGAGACCTGTTCTGTTTTCAAAGCTGTGCGCTTTTTCTCTGAACTGAACACCGACATACTTTTATTACCTTAGAGTTCTGTTTCTTCTGTCGATTTTCAGTTTCTTCTCTAGCTCTGAATGTGCGCCTACTCTTTCATCTGTACCTCTATACCTACACTATCTGTGTGTGTGTGTTCCATCTCTCTGTCTTTGTCCCCCTCCCTGTTTGAGGGGGACTCCGTGGTGGTTTTCACTCTTCTGGTAAAATCTCGGTGCAGCACGCTGTTCTCTCCGCTGACCAATCAGCAGCTCCTGCACACGCGTGGGAGTGTGCTCAATACATACAGTGGCTCGGTAGTGGTTGAGTGTGGTGTGGCCATTCTTCATGTTGTGAGTGTTGAGTCCAGGGGATAGTTTTCCAGTCACTTTCTCAACTGTGTCATCAAATGGACAGATTAACATCCCTGGTTGGATTTTAATCTGTTTCAGGCAGTACACTGATTCCAGGTAGCCGAGACTAACTTTTCTTACTGTTTAGAGGTTTAATGAGGAACAACGGCCATTTAAAACAGAAAATATATATATATATATATATATATATGTATATGTATATATATGTATATGTATATGTATATATATATATATATGTATATGTATATGTATATATATGTATATGTATATGTGTATATGTATATGTGTATATGTATATGTATATATATATGTATATATATATGTATATGTATATGTATATATATATGTATATATGTATGTATATGTATATATATATATATATATGTATATGTATATATATGTATATATATGTATATGTATATATATGTATATGTATATGTATATATATGTATATGTATAT